ATTATTTATGTAAATGCCCTTTTAAAAATGGATATTGCAGGAAAAATTATCAGCTATTGTGATGATACTGCTATATTCTACACCAGCGAGTCATGGACAACACTTAAACAGATTACGGAAAGGGACTTCCTAAATATTTCTAAATGGTTTAAAATTAACAAACTTTCTTTAAACACCACTAAAACTAGATACCTAAATTTCTCGTCATACGCTACCGGCTTGCCAAACATGGGCGTTCTCAATATTGATGACGATACCTCTATTCAGGAAAACGATTCCATAAAATACCTTGGAATAACGTTGGATCAGAATCTAAGATGGAAACTGCATAGCAATCAACTTGCAGGGAAAGTCCGAAACTTAATATCTAAATTCAAACGCCTTAAAGATTTCCTTGATATAAAATCATTGAAAACACTTTACTTTTCGTTGGTTCAATCACAGCTCACATATGGACTTATTGGCTGGGGTGGAGTAAGGGAATGTCATATTAATACAGTAGAAATTATTCAAAAATGGCTTCTTAAAATAATCTATGAAAAACCCAAATTATTTCCCACAGATCAATTATTCAACGAGACCGGAATATTTGACATCCGACAACTTTATGCTCAAAATTTATTGATAAATTTACATAAAAACAAAATTGAACTTGAATATGTACAACATCCTCACGAGACCCGCGCTCAAAATAGAGACGCGGTTCTCCCGCGGAGTCAGAAAGCTGTTGGTCAACAATACTACAAATCTTACGCCCCCAGAATTTATAATCTTCTCCCAGAAAATATAAAACAAAAAATTAACCAAAAAAACTTCAAATCTCATATTAAACCATGGATAAAAATAAATCGCCATACTCTTAGAAATTTTTTCAAAAATCTATAAAAAATAAATTGATCGTAAACCTAAAAAGTGACCATAAAACTCCCTATTTTGACACACCCTCGATTTTGACATGCACACCCGAATAAGACAACTTTACCCGAAATTGACGCACTGCCCAATTTAGACAAATAAGAAAAATACCATCACGTACAAGCAATACAGTTGATGCATTGCTTCTGTGATTACTGTTTATTTTACTGTAAGATAAAATTATTATAATATTTAAGCATATGTTTGTACCTATGTATCTTTGGTAAATAAACTTTATTATTATTATTATTATTATTATATCGCGATCACTGAGTGGTCGATTGGGTAGCTTTATTGTTAGTTTTTTGGTATCTTTTTCAAGTACTGTCCATACCCAGTCTTTTGTTCAGCTAGATATAACCCACTTCCTCTTTCCCTAAGGCAATGGTTTCCATTGTGTCTCTTGGACTTGGCAAGTTTATCCTTTGCAGAACGAGTATCATTTACGGCTTTTCCAATTCCTGCCACACCACCACTTAGAGCGCCTAACGCAAGTCCTGCAAACAGGGGTATTAGTAGAATAATCCCGCTTATTTTCGGTACTCGGATGACTAGTGGAACTCGAATATTTTGTTGCTGATACACCTGTCTATCAGAAAAGCTGCGTCCTGACTCATATAGCTGTATACAGACCTGTCTTGAAGCGGCCTCCCGCCTGGGTCCTTATTCTTGGAACAGGGGATCAGTCTTTGTTACTTATATATTATCATTTGAATATCATTGAGAAAGACGGGACACTCGTTCTCCTGGGAACGCTGCACCCCTGTTTCAAGAATAATGACCCGGTATAGCTGTATACAGACAAAGCCATCGCCCGACCTAGCTGCAGACCTCTGATTCTACCTCTATTCGGCATTGAGTAATATACATACATACAAACCTGCTCCCAGTTAGTATGGCTTCAGTTCCAAGTAAAAGTGATAAGAATACCAAGAAAATAATACTTAATGCTGCTTGATCTATAAAGAAGAAATATCTGGCTCTCAAGCTAGAAGGAAACGAAGAGGATGAAGCACTCAATTGAATTATAGGCCCTATAACAGACCCGCTGAGGGAGGTTGTTGAAAAAACGACAAGAAGAAGGAAACCCCGAGTTAAACATGAAAAAGTTGAAGAACCCAAAACAGAAGTTAAGTTCGAGCGCAGTATTCCCAAACATGTAGAGTTTCAGCCAACAGAGGTTAATGCTCAAACACTTGAGAATTTAAGAGGTGATGATGATGATGACTGAGAGCAGGAAAAGGTTTTCTACGAACCATTGCAAGAGGAGCTACAGAAATCAATTCTCGAAAGATCAGGAGCATATGAACAGTTTTTAGATCAGTATCTCAAAATATCACAAGCTTATGTAGATGAGATAGACCACTGTTTTGAACTATTGAATTCATTATTACTTATATTATCAATAATCCTAATGTTCACTACATTTTCTCTTCTCGAGATCCACCATCTGAGTAATTAAGTCCCAAGTTTATTATAACAATACTTAATGCTGTTAGGGTTCAAAGATGATGCCGGCTATAATTATTATATAACCAATGTCCTGTTCACATCAATTTCTCGAAAGTCGTTACTTCTATTGCAGAAACCCCAAGGGTTGTAAATATAGAAACTAATTCAAATACAGCCAATCGGAAGTACTTTTGCCGCCAAAGAATGGGAGATAGTTGAAGGCAAGGTATTCAGATTTCGAGCTTCACTCTGAACAGTCGAGTTGCCTCTCAACATTCTTAACTAAGAGTCCCCCCCTCAACCAGAACTTTAATAAATGAAACATTTTTATACAATACCGAGTTTTAATTATCGAAGTACGAGATTGGAGCGAGCGGAAAACTTCAGGTACTCAATATTCGTGGCATCAGTCTTCTCCCGATTCCCAACACGACTCTTATGGTTTAAAACCAACACCACTCTTATGGTTTAAAACAAAACATGACTTGCAACATTAGATGCATCTCAAGAAGCTGGCAATGGTAACCACATCAATGAGATTATAAGTATTTTGGAGGAACTAATTGAGTTGCGTGTAATCGAATTCAATGAATAAACCTATATCCTTTATTTAGAATCATTCTTGTGTTTACTTCGAGAAAGTTTGGATCTCAATGTCCATTATCACGAAAGCTAGAGAGCAGGTGGTTGAAGAGCTTCATAAGCCAGCCCCTGAAAAGTTTGATCCTAGAAGATTCATACAGTTTGGCCTATATGACACTTTTGCAACAGATTTGGCGCTTCTCGAGAAAACAAGGGATTCAAATATGTATTGGTTGTCATCGATTGTTTTTCCAAATTCCTCTGGACTGAAGCTGTGAAATCGAAATCTGCATCGAATGTTGCCAAAGCTATGGAAAGCATATTGAAATCTTGTGGAAGAATACCCAAGAAACTTATTTCCGATAATGGCAAGGAATGCTATAACACACAATCTCGAGTCTGATGAAGAAACATGGGATACATCATTACAGTTCATTTAGTACTCTGGAAGCATCAATTGCAGAACGAGTAACTCGGACGTTCTATTCAAGCAATTTACATTAAATGATTTATTAAAACCAGTTACTGAAACCTATAATAATACCAAACATCTAACAGTTCGCATGAAGTCAAGTAAAGTTAATACAAATAATAAAAAGACATTGCTTGATTCTGTTTACCGTCATATCAAGGTTGTCGGTAAACAAAAGTTCGAGGTTGGTGAGTCCGCATAAGCAAGTACAAACATGTCTTTCAAAAAGGCTATACTCCAAATTGGACTGTTTAGAATCGCTAAAATCCTAATAACAAATCCAACAACATATCTGCTAGAGGACTTGCAAGGCCATCCTATTAGTGGGGGTTTTTATGAAGAAGAATTGCAGAAAACAAAACAAACTGATTTGTTTCTCGTTGAACAAGTATTACGAAAGACAGGGATTAAGGTTTTTGTGGAATGGTTGGGATTTGATAAGTCTCATAACAGTTGGATCTATAAAACCAAAGATGTGGTTTGAAACAAGATTTCTTAGATTGCCCGGCTCATTTGCAATCATGAGCTTGCACTGTAAAATTTGTGATGAAGCATTTCTTCCCATCCACATAAAAGTAAGTGTTGTACGGAGTGTGAACCCAATGTTCAGATTATCAATTCGGCTTTCAAAAATCGGATAATTATCAATAGATTATACGTAAATGCGCACCCGACCAGTAGAGGACTTTATTTAGAAAAACTGAAACCGAAAGTAGTGGATTTAAAGCAAAATTGGCTGTAAGAATAACTGCCTTAGAAAATCAACATAAGCGATTCAATATAACGCCAAGTTCCATAAGTATCGACGACAGCAGAATAGTTAAATTTTCAAATGCTATAAACAATACCGATTCAATAACTAAAGGTCAGGCAATCAAAATGATTGTTGAAAAGGTGAAGCAGACTGAAAAACCAGCGCTAGCAACAGCATCAGGGGTAGCAAAAAAGCCAAAAGGAAAGGGAACCTAAACATCCGTATATTCTGCAACTTTTTCAGTCTAGTTCAAGCCTTCAAACATGTGTGATCAATTGTTAAAATTCCTATCGGGGCAAAAATATATAGAAGATTGTAGTGCCGACGAGTTAAGAGACTTACCAATTGGGTTTTTTTACAATATGTCGATAGTACTACACTTTTAGATATTTGGAGAAAATTACCACTTGAACACAGGCGTGCTTTTGAGTTGCAAGTAAGACTTCCCTGTTTCTTTCATCATAACAGATCTGATTGGAGAACACATGTAGATGGACCTCCCTCCTCATGTTAATTTTGTATAAGAGAAATTGCAGATCAAAGGCGCCGCCGATCTAGAGATTTTCCCACGGATTCGAAAAATTTCCCAGGCTCAGGTGCCTCCGCTATGTTAACAGATAACGTCATTTGGGTTTAGTTGAAGTAGCGCGGAGTAGATTAAACATTGACATAGATGGCGTCACTTGGGTTAGACACTGACAGATGAACTGGTGGATGGTTGCATCAATGCGCGGTGTGATGGTGAATAAACTTACTATCTCTACTAACAACTATTAGCTTATTCTACATCTCAAAAGTAATATTTTTTATGCAAAAAAGTATGACTTACCAATACATTGGGCCACTTACCTCTAATTCGCCCCTCAACGTCCATAACTGTTCCTCCATAGACAAACCAGCAACACCACATGCAGCTCTACAGCTAGAAGCTGGCGGATGTTCTAGCATTTGACGCAAACTCGCTGCCAATGAATCGATACTTTCAATCGTCAAGACATCTTCAGCTGCCAACGACATTTCTGCAGCCTCATCATCAGCAGTAGTTTCTTTATCACAAACATCAACTGTTGCAGTGCTTTCATCTACTGTGAGCCAACACATGTGCCTACACGGTTTCGATTTATCAGTCCTTGGCTTCATTCTACAATCGGGTCTACATTGATGAATGTCACTGGTGGTTGTAGGAGCGAACCAACTGGCAAATATCGAAGATCTCTTGGCTGATTCAGATACAGCAGGTGCAGTTTCAATTGCTTCAACGGGCTGATCAGAATAAGCTGCGGCTTCTGTAGCTGTTGAGTCCACAAATACTTCCTCAGATTTGGATTGTATTTCTTCCATTGCTACTACGACCAATTTTTGCTGCTCCACAGCATCGATGAACGCTTCTTCTTCTTCGTCTTCTTCCGCATTAACTCGTTGTTCTTCTTCTTCGTCTTCTTCCGCATTAACTGGTTGTTCAGTTAATTGATCTACAATTTCAATATCCGATGCTCCATGTTCATCTATTTTATGACTTACATCCGATTTACTGAAGATAGGCGAGTAGATTTCGATAAGTCTGTCTGATGAAGTTGAAGGTAGAGATAGTATTTCTGCATCCGCTTGCTCCATATCTTCAGCACTTGGAAAATCAGAGGATATTTCCGGAATACTATGATAGCTAGGTCCTCGAGACTCTGAGTATGATTCAACTGTAGTACTGATGATGACACTTTTAATTTTACTTTTTACTTTTCCAGAGCTATCAAGGCTACTAATAGTTCGTTTTTCTTCTGGAATTTCCTCTTTAGAAATGGATATTTCTGTTTCTTCCTCCGTCGAGCCTGCCTTCTCCTCATCAGACTCCGTAACCTCTTCAATCTGTTCCAACTTATCTGGCTGACTGAGATGCTCTTCTGAAATATCATCTGGGGCTGCTACAGCATCATCTTCAAACTCATCTAGATTCTCATCAACAACTTCAGTTTCATATACCATTTCACCATCAGTAACAAGTTCACCTTCATCTTCAAAAGATTTATAGTCACTTTGCGTACTTTCACCTTTGGCCGATTCATAGGCATCGTCAGTAAAGTCTGTGTCACTTATTTCACTGACTTCTCCAAATGTTTCTTCGTCCACTGACTCTGCTAGCTTTCTATCAGCCATTGCTGTATGTACTCGTTGTGCAGATAGCTGACGTTGTTGGATAATAGCATCAGTGAGGTTACGTGGAGATTGTTGCTCTCTGGTTATCGGTGGTGGTCCTAAAAGTTGACCCGATAGAACTCTGGTCATTACATTACTCATTCGAATACTTTCTGGAATTGCTGGAGGTGGTGACTCCTCTTCTTCTGATAGACTTAAGTTTGGAATTTCAGTTTCTGCTATTGCAGGAGTTGTGTCTGCCCATTGAGGCATTGCCTCTCTTGGTGATTGTTCAGGCCTATAATATCCTGGAGGTATCAAATCGTACGGTTTGTTTAAATCAACTCCGGTAATAATTCCTCCAGTTTCTTCACCGAACAGAGTAGGCCTTTCTCTAGGGTTTCTACAACGAGCCCTACAAATAGGTACAGGCATAGTGGTTTCTGTAGGCGTTTTTTTCATAAGAGGTGCTGGTTTGGAAGGTTCCTCCTCTGAGAGTTTTAAAGCTTCGTCCTCATCTATCGATGTAAGATCTAGTGATTCTTTTAGCCTGTTAAACTCTGTGTATATTTCTTCGGCCTTTAGGAAATCTTCGAGATCGTCTTGCGATATTTCTGGTGCAGATAGGAATTCGTCACTCCAGTCAGGTTTAGGCACTTCTCTACCTTTTGGTTTTTTTGTTTTGGTAGGGTCCAAACGGCTCTCTTCAGGTATCCTACTACAAGTTGCTTCACATGGTTTTGATGTTGATGCACCAGTTTCATAGATGGGTTTTCTCTTCAACTTATCTTCGGCACCAGAAACTTTTCTCGCAAGTGCCAACTGCTTTTTTAAATCACCATACTTCTTCAATATCTCTATTTCTTCTGGGCTATGCTCTTTTTGTCCAGGCCTCTTAGCTTTTGCGGCTCGTATTAGGTCATCATTCAAGTCACGGATTTTTCTCAATATTGCTTTTTCCAAGTATCCTTTAGGCTTTAAAGCTTCGTCCTCTTGTATCGATGTAAGATCTAATGATTCTTTTAATCTATTGAACTCTCTGTATGTTTCTTCGGCCTTTAAGAAATCTTCGAGATCTTCTTGCGTTATTTCTGCTGCAGATAAAAATTCGTCACTCCAGTCAGGTTCAGACCCTTCTCTATCCTTTGGTTTTTTTATTTTGGTAGGACCCAAACGGTTCTCTTCAGGTATCCTACTACAAGTTGCTTCACACGGTTTTGATGTTGGCAGGCTCGATGGTGCACCAGTTTCATAGATGGGTTTTCTCTTCAACTTATCTTCGACACCAGAAACTTTCCTTGCAAGTGCCAACTGCTTTTTTAAATCACCATACTTCCTCAATATCTCTATTTCTTCTGGGCTATGCTCTTTTTGTCCAGGCCTCTTAGCTTTTGCGGCTCGTTTTAGGTCATCATTCAAGTCACGGATTTTTCTCAATATTGCTTCTTCCATGTCTCCTTCAGGCTCACCAACTATTGGAACCATCACCAGTGGCTTCGCAGGTTTTGGTTTTCTAGTTCCGATATCGGCACATGTCGCTTTGCACGGTACCTTCTTTACCGGCTCTGTCGGTTCAATTCTTTCCAATTCTGGAGTAGTAGGCTTTTCGCCGATTTTGGGCTCAGAAACCCTAATTGCTTCTGCAACTGGTTTTTCTATTGCTTCTAGTTTTTTCTCAGGTTCTGTGATTTCTTTTCGAGCTTCTTCTTCTTCTATTTTTTCCAAAATCTCTTCTATACCAGCCACAGGTTCTGGAATTTCGTCTCGTGCTGTGAAAAACTGATCAGTCTCATCAGCTACTGGAACTAGTGGTCGTAAATCTATGTCTTTTGAAATGGGTGGCTTTTCAAGGACTCCTTCTTCCTCTTCCGCTATTTGTTCCATAGGCTGTAGCTTTCTGGGCTCATATTCTCCCAGCTCTGTTGGTTCGATTCTTTCAACTGCTGGAGCCTCTTTTTCAATTTTGGGCTCAGTAATTCTAATTTCTTCTGGAACTTCAATCGGCTCTTCTATTTTCCTTGGTTTTTCTTCTGCAACAGCTGCTGTAATTTCTTCATAAGCTTCTTCTTCTTCTTTGACTTTTGGAGGAACCTTTTCTTTTACCAGCCCTTCAACTTTTATTTCCGGTTCTTCTTCAATTTCCTGTATAACAGGCACGGGTTCTGGATGAAGTTCTTCACGAGCAGGAAAAAAATCCTCCATCTCTTCTGCCTCGGGTGCACCTGGTTCTCTGCCTTCCACAAAAAATTCTTCTCCTGGCTTTTTCGAAATTTCCACTTTTGGCTCTTTTTCAATTTTCTCTGTGACAGTCACGGCTTCTGGAATTTCTTCTCGAACACTAACAAATTCATCAATTTCTTCTTCAGGAGCTTCTAGTTCTTCGAGCTCCAAAGAAATCTCTTCTATCGACAACTCGTCCTTTTTAGCCACAGCAATTTGTTCCTTAACTTTGGGTTCAACTTCTTCTACAGGTGGTAGCTCATCCTTTTTAGCTACAGGAATTTTTTCCTTAGCTTTGAGCTCAACTTCTACGGATGGTAGCTCATCCTTTTTAGCTACAGCAATTTGTTCTTTAACTTTGGGTTCAACTTCTTCTACGGGTGGTAGCTCAGCCCCTTCAGCTACAGCAATTTGTTCCTTACTTTTGGGTTCAACTTCTTCTACAGGTGGTAGCTCATCCTTCTTAGCTACAGGAATTTTTTCCTTAGCTTTGAGCTCAACTTCTTCTACGGATGGTAGCTCATCCTTTTTAGCTACAGCAATTTGTTCTTTAACTTTGGGTTCAACTTCTTCTACGGCTGGTAGCTCACCCCCTTCAGCTACAGCAATTTGTTCCTTACTTTTGGGTTCAACTTCTTCTACAGGTGGTAGCTCATCCTTTTTAGCTACAGGAATTTTTTCCTTTACTTTGGGCTCAACTGCTACTAGAGGTGGTAACTCATCCTTTTTAGCTACAGGAATTTTTTCCTTAACTTTGTGCTCAGCTTCTTCTACGGGTGGCAGCTGATCCTCTTCAGCTACAGCAATTTGCTCCTCGACTCTGGGTTCAACTTCTTCTATTGGTGGTAGTTCTTCTCCAACAGCTTTGACTTTTTCGACTCTCTCTTTTTTGAGTGGCTCTTTCCCGATTTCTTCAGGTACTTCTTCCTCTGCTTTTTTTTTCGGCGCCAATATAACAACAACAGGTTCTTCTTCTCTAGCTCGTACTTCTTCTTCGGTAGTTACAGGAGGTCTTTTCTCAACATCAACAGGCGCTGCTGATTCTAGCACTCCTCTCTTTGAAGGCTCCTTGATTACTTCTTCAACAGCACTTGGTTCTTTTGAAGTTTTTGCTTTAACTTCTACAGGTTTCAGTTGATCTTCGCTAGGTTTTCCTTTTTCAGGTTTTACTTTTTGCTTTACGTCTTCTGGTTCCAATATTCTCGACAATGCTGGTTTCTTTTCAAGTTGTATATAGCCTTTATCATCAACTGCAGGTTTTTGTTCAACAGGTTCTGCCACTTCTTCTTTTTTTGCTTTAACAATGTCAGGTTTCTCAGTCACTGCTGCCTTTGAAGGAACCTCTGGTTTAGCTCTTTCTTCTCTAGGTTTCGATGGAACTTTGTCTATTTTTCTTGCTTCTTCTGATACTACCTGAGGAGGTGATACTCCGAGTACAGTAGGCTCTAGTTTTCGCTCTACAAACTCTTCCTTAGTTGGTTTGTCTAGTTTAGCAACCTCAGATGGCCTATCCTTAGTTTTAACCTCAGCAACTGGTTTGGCCTTAGCAACAGCTTCAAGTTTGGTAAAGGTTTCTTTCATTTTGTCTTCAGATTTTTTTGCAGATTTGGCCTCAGCAACAGTTTCAGGTTTGGTAATAGCTTCTTTCATTTTGTCTTCAGATTTTTTTGCAGGTGGTTTGCTAAGTATTGGTCTAGCAGCTGCTTCAGCTGCCATAGGTTCTTCAGCTGGTACTTTTTTGTGAGGCACTTTAACATCTTTACTAGCTACTGGTTCTAGTCTGCGCTTTTCCTCTTCTTGTAACCTCTTTTCTTCCAACTCGGAACATACAGGACCGCATTCAGTATCCGAATAAGCATCAACCAGTTGCGGTTCTGCTACAGCTTCGGGTTTATCAACAGCTTTCGGTCTTTTTGTTTTTTCTGCTGGTTCTGGTTCAGTTTTCATGGCCTTTTTTCTTAGTTCTGCGTCTTTTTTAGATGCTGCTAGTCAAATAATAATGTTATCAATAGTTTTTCGACTAATATGGACTCTTACCTTCTTCGGTTTCCTTAATACCTGGTGAAGGAGTTTGTGCAGGCCTAGCACGCTCTGCTCTGCCTCTGCCTTTGGCTCTTTTCTCTGGATCGTGGACAAAGTCATCTGGTTTCTTATCTAAAAATATTGATGGAATAAACATTTTTAGAATCTGCAAATTTACTCACCTTGACTTGTTACTGATACTTTAGGCTCTCCAACTTTGGCTTGCTCTTTTAGAGAAGGCTTTCCCAGGTGTTTATCTTTGGAGGGAGCCTCACCAATGCCTGCAACTTCAGGTTTTTTCGGTTCCGATTCTTTTTTTGGAAGCTTTTCTTGTACTCCAGGCCTAGTGAGGTCTTCTGGTCGCTCTCCACGGCCTCTACCTTTCGGTCTTTTATCGGGATCATGAGGTTTTAAATCTTTTGATTCTTCTCTCACTGGATATGGTTTATCAAGAGCCTTGCCATATTCTCTTGCTGGTTTGTCACCAGGCTTCAAATCTTCTGATTCCTTTTTGATTGGAGATGGAACAGCCTTCAAGTCTTTTGCTTTCCTTTCCGTTGGAGACGGTTTACCTTCGCCTTTTTCTTTGTCAACTATAATCATATCATAATATTTTTTATAATTATAATGAATTTTGCTTTTTATAATCACCTTTTGCAGCTTCAAGAGGCTTCTTTCCAGGTCCAACTTCGAATATAGGTTCCACAACTTCCAACATTTCTGGTTCTGTTGGCTTGGACTTTCCTACTTTTTTCGTTGGTTCGGCGGGCTTGGCTTTATCTTTTACTGATTCCTTTTTCCCAACTGTTGGTTCAACAGGCTTGATTTTTTCAGCAGCCTCTTCTTTTGTAGGTCTCACAGTTTCAGCATGTTTTACTTTCTCTTTGGATGGTTCAGCAGCCGGTTCTTTCTTCTCAGCTGTTTTACGTCTAGCAGTTTCAGCAGGTGTTGATTTTTCTTTGATAGGTTCAGCAGGCGGTTCTTTTTTCGCACCTGTTTTAGGTTTCACAGTTTCAGCAGACGTCATTTTCTCTTTGGAAGGTTCAGCAGCCGATTTAGGCCTTATAGTTTCAGCAGGCTTCACTTTCTCTCTGGAAAGTTCAGCAGCTGTTTTAGGTCTTACAGTTTCAGCAGGCTTCACTCTCTCTTTGGAAAATTCAGCAACCGGTTCCTTTTGCTCAGCTGTTTTAGGTCTCATAGTTTCAGCAGGCTTCACTTTCTCTTTGGTAGGTTCAGCAGGTGGTTCTTTTTTCTCAGCTGTTTTAGTCCTTACAGTTTCAGTAGGCTTCACTTTCTCTTTGGAAGGTTCAGCAGCCGGTTCTTTCTTATCAGGTGTCTGTCTCACAGTTTCAGCAGGCTTTACTTTTTCCTTGCTAGGTTCAGAAGGCGGTTCTTTTTTCTCAGCTGTTTCAGGTCTCACAGTTCCAGCAGGCTTCACTTTCTCTTTGGTGAGTTCAGCAGCCAACTCTTTTTCCTCAGCTGCTTTGGGCCTTCCAGTCTCAGCAGGCTTCACTTTATCTTTGGCAGGTTCAGCAGCCGATTCTTTTTTCTCAGCTGTTTTAGGCCTCACAGTTTCAGCAGGCTTTACTTTCTCTCTGGTAGGTTCAGCAGCTGAACCTTTTTTCTCAGCGGTTTTTGGCCTTCCAGTCTCAGCAGACTTCACTTTATCTTTGGCAGGTTCAGCAGCCGATTCTTTTTTCTCAGCTGTTTTAGGCCTCACAGTTTCAGCAGGCTTTACTTTCTCTCTGGTAGGTTCAGCAGCTGACCCTTTTTTCTCAGCGGTTTTTGGCCTTCCAGTCTCAGCAGACTTCACTTTATCTTTGGCAGGTTCAGCAGCCGATTCTTTTTTCTCAGCTGTTTTAGGCCTCACAGTTTCAGCAGGCTCTACTTTCTCTCTGGTAGGTTCAGCAGCTGAACCTTTTTTCTCAGCGGTTTTTGGCCTTCCAGTCTCAGCAGACTTCACTTTATCTTTGGCAGGTTCAGCAGCCGATTCTTTTTTCTCAGCTGTTTTAGGCCTCACAGTTTCAGCAGGCTTTACTTTCTCTCTGGTAGGTTCAGTAGCTGACCCTTTTTTCTCAGCGGTTTTTGGCCTTCCAGTCTCAGCAGACTTCACTTTATCTTTGGCAGGTTCAGCAGCCGATTCTTTTTTCTCAGCTGTTTTAGGCCTCACAGTTTCAGCAGGCTTTACTTTCTCTCTGGTAGGTTCAGCAGCTGACCCTTTTTTCTCAGCGGTTTTTGGCCTTCCAGTCTCAGCATACTTCACTTTATCTTTGGCAGGTTCAGCAGCCGATTCTTTTTTCTCAGCTGTTTTAGGCCTCACAGTTTCACCAGGCTTTCCTTTATCTTTTGCAGGTTCAGCAGCCGATTCCTTCTCTTCAGCTGTTTTAGGCCTTACAGTTTCAGCAGGCCTAACTTTCTCTTCGGTAAGTTCAGCAGCCGGTTCTTTCTTCTCAGCTGTTTTAGGCTTCACAGTTTCAGCAGACTTTACTTTCTCTCTGGTAGGTTCAGCAGCTGCCTCTCTTGCCCCAGCTGTTTTGGGCCTTACAGTCTCAGCAGGCTTCACTTTATCTTTGGCAGGTTCAGCAGCCGATTTTTTTCTTTCAGCTGTTTTAGGCGTCACAGTTTCAGCAGGCTTCACTTTCTCTTTGGTAGGTTCAGAAGCCGGAGCGGTTTTAGGCCTCACAAGTTCAACAGCCGGTTCTTTCTTCTCAGCTGTTTCAGGCCTCACAGATTCAGCAGCTGATTCTTTTTTCTCAGCTGTTTTAGGCCTCACTGTTTCAGCAGGCTTCACTTTCTCTTTGGTAGGATCAGAAGCCGGAGCTGTTTTAGGCCTCACAAGTTCAGCAGCCTGTTCTTTTTTCTCAGCAGTAGGCCCTATAGCTTCAGCAGGCCTCACTTTATCTTTGGTAGGTTCAGCAGCTGACCCTTTTTTCTCAGCTTTTTTGGGCCTCACAGTTTCAGCAGGCTTCACTTTATCTTTGGCAGGTTCAGCAGCCGATTCTTTTTGCTCAGCTGTTTTAGGCGTCACAGTTTCAGCAGGCTTCACCTTCTCTTTGGTAGAATCAGAAGCCGGAGCTGTTTTACGCCTCATAAGTTCAGCAGCTGTATCTCTTTTGTCAGTTGTTTTAGGCCTTGCAGCTTCAGCAGGCTTCATTTTATCTTTGGTAGGTTCAGTAGCCGGTTCTTTTTTCTCAGCTGTTTTAGGCCTTACAAGTTCAGCAGCCGGTTCTTTTTTCTCAGCTGTTTTAGGCCTTACAGTTTCACCAGGCTTCATTTTCTCTTTGGTAGGTTCCGCAGTCGGTTCTCTTTTCCCAGCTGTTTTAGCAGCAGGCTTGTCTTCGTCTTTGGATGGTTTCGCAAGTGGTTCTTTCTTCTCCATAGTTTTAGGTTTACCAGTTTCAGCTGGCTTCGCTTTATCCTCGGATAGTTCCGCATAAGGTTCTTTTTTCTCAACGGTTTTAGGTTTCACAGGTTCAGAAAGTTGGTCTTTATCTTTGGCTGGTACCTTTTTATCAGCTGTTTGAGGTTGTACTATTCCAGCAGGCTTCACTTTATCTGTGGTAGGTTCAGCGAAGGGTTCTCTTTCCCCAGCTGCTCTAGGCCTCACAGTTTCAGCAGGCTTCACTCTCTTTTTGGTAGGTTCAGCAGCCGGTTCTCTTTTCTCAGCTGATACAGTTTCGGCTGGCTTCACTTCATCTTCAGATGGTTTCATTTTTCGAGCTCGTTCAGCTGCCGGTTCTCTTTTCTCAGCTGATACAGTTTCGGCTGGCTTCCCTTCAACTTCAGATGGTTGCATTTTTCGAGCTCTTTCAGCAGCTTCTACTTCATCTGTAGGTTCCTTTTCGTCACGTGGTTTAGGTTTCCCAGTTTTAGCAGGCTTTGTTCCATCTTTAAATGGTTCGGCAGCAGGCCCACCTACACCTTCACGACTAAGTCTGCCTCTACCTCGTCCTCTAATTTTGGAACGTTCTGGCACTGTGCTTAAAAACAATTTTTAACGAAACTAATAAATTAATCATTGAAAACTTACATTCTCTCGGTGCAGTAGTGTCAGTTTTCCTGGCTTCAGAAGGCCTTGGCGATTGAGCTACATAGAAAAACGTATATCAATTCTAATAAAGCAATACTATTTTGACTGTATACTTAATGCGGAATATAATTTTTCTGGCTCCGATGTTTCGCCTACAGGCTTTTGTGCAATTGGAACTTTAGGTTTTTTCTCAAAAGGCAAATCGTCATCTTTGGATGGTCGTGCTCGTTTTCTATAGTCAGTTTTCGGTTCTTCTTTGGAAGTACCTGGTACACTGCTCAGTCTTTTACGTTTCTCCCGTTTGGACACGGGTTCGCGTTCTTCTGAAGTTGATCTGGGCCTTGACGCTTCAAGCTCTTTCTAGATAATATGTTTTGATTACCTACTTTGTTTTTGTTGAAATCATTATTACCTTTCTTTTTTGTCGTTCGTGCTCTTTTTTTTTTCGGGTAGTAGCTTTCAGCTTTTTCTTCTCCTCATCAAGCTGGGCATTCTAATAAAACAAAAATAGCCAGATGATGCACAGGGTTATATTTTACACATTTACAAAAAGTAATTATCTGGATGTTCAATGCCATATTGCTTTACCAGGCTGTCCAATTTTTTTTTCTGTTCCGGCGTGAGCTCGATTTGTCTGTAAATGTCGGTCAAAGCCTCCAAGTATTCGATTCGTTTTTGAAGTTTGAAGATTTCGTTGTCTTTGTTGGCTGAGATTGCGTTGAAGAGCAAGTCCAGTGGCAGGTACTTTTCCAGACAAAATTGCTAGAAAACCATTGATAAATATTTAAATGAGAGCCCATAATTCTTACCCCTCGGCTTCTGGCATTGAGTTCTAGAATATGTTGTCTGCGTTGCTCCACTTCATCGCACCAAGCTCTTCTATCCGTAGCTGACGGGTAAATTTTCATCCTAGCTTCGGAACGAGAATGCGGTATATCGAACGGTTCGCCATAGCGAAAAACTCGCTCGTGCTTGTTCAAAAAAGACATCGCTGGGTGAATTTAGAGGTAAACCATATATATTTATATGGGAAATTCTAAATACTGGCTTGGTAAAAATGACATCTTACTTTGAGTGATGTTTATTTTGATGATAGTTTAGGCCGCGTCCAGATCTAACGCCATCAAATACTGAAAAAGAAAACCTGTAAAATTGTAAATAGCTGAATCGGAAGGGGTTAATGCCCTCTCAGATACTGAATGCGGTTCTGTATATTCCTAGTTGGATCAAAACTTACTAGATAGTAGCAGAAGAAGGAACAAAATTACTGAAAGTTGCTTGAAATCTTAAGAAAGAATATTTCTTTAAAGGTAAAAGAGTGGTGGAAGAGCCAGTTGAAGTACAGCCTGAATTGATGGAGAAAAGTTATGGTATACAACTTCACAAGAGACCAGCATTGTCAAGCACGTTAGAACCAGAGGTTGAGGAAATAATAAAACCTGAAAAAAAAGAATCCAACTGAAATCTGAAGAAGTAAAAACAAAGAAGAAGTTGTTAGAACCAAGTGAAATTGATCACAACTTGGAAGTTGGTGTTAGAGTAGATCGGGGCTGAGTGGCCAACAAGTCTACTCACATGCCAGGATTCGGCGGCACATACCGACAAAATTATGGCTTTTTGAAAGAGCCCGACGATAGAGAGGGTGTTTTTCAGATCCACTTTTTGCAGATCAGATTCTGGATTCTTGTCCACCGAGCCGTTTGTCGTTACAATGACGGAAATCACTTGAATGCTTTTAAGCTTGTAAATTTTCCGTAGTTCAGCTTAGCGCACAATGGTTGGTACCTATTTTTCAATTTTCTCGGTCTTGACCTTTCGAATGTTTTCGTCCAATGGTATAGTAATGTCGATAACCCAAGCGTGGTCATTTTCTTTCAGAACTAGAATGTCTGGTCTGTTGTGTTTTACATTTTTGTCTGTTGTTATTGCCCTGTCCCAGTACATTTTGGTGTCGGTTGTATGTGTAATACGGAGTCTTTTTTTTACTTATGTTCAAATGTATAGCAATTTCTTGGTGTAGGATTCCTGCTACCAAGTTGTGACGGTTAGTGTAGTCTTTTGGTGCTAAGTAACTACATGCTGCCGCGAGGTGTTAAACAGTTGCTCTATTTTTGTGACAAAGTCTACATAGGTCGCCCCCTATATCCTGTTTGAGAATATGTTTCCTGTAGTTTTTTGTACAGATTACTTGGTCTTGTATGGCTTTTACGAAGCCTTCCGTTTCTGGCATCAGAAATGCATGTCTCAGGTAGGTTGTGAATAGTTTGGGGTCAACCTCTACGCTTTTAAGAGCAGCGGCGTACCTACCGTGTAGGGTTCTACTTTGCCATTCTAATTCGAGTGTTCTCATGTTTTTATGTGTTTTAGGTGCAGCGTTCGATGCAAGATTCAGAAACGAGAGATTGGAATCAGCACTGCAGATTGCAACGTGGAACGGATCTTATTTGCGTTGGAAGTATAAGTATAGAGGTTTTTGATTTGGTTTTGGTGTGAAAGTTCTAAATTTATTAGTCCTCTACCTCTTTTTTTCCTTTCCAGATACAACCTGTTCATGGATGCGTTGGGATGATGACCTCTATATTGGGTAAGGCTTACTCGGATTGCTCGATCGATTCTCTGTAAATCCGTGAGTACCCCAAAAGTGTGGGTTATTACCGGGAGCGCCCATACTTGGGACCCAGCATACAGGTGAGTCTTAAGAATGGTTTTTACTCTGGTAATCAAATTTTTTTCTACCATCTCTTCCATGTCTGATTGTCCCGTGTTTAGGGATTGTTTAACACCAAGATATTTGTATCGTTCTTCCGCTCCTAGTGTAGAAAACTCGGTGCCTGTCATTAGAGTGATGTTTTCTTCCTCCACATATTTTCCCCTCTTGGCGTGTATGGTTGCACACTTGTCCAGTCCAAACTCCATTTTTATGTCGTCACTGAAGGCAGCTACAAGCTCTAGTAGGTTTTGGAGCTATTCGTTTTTACTTGCATATAGCTTCAGGTCGTCCATATAAAGCAGGTGCTCTAGTTTGTACTTTCCGTTGCATATTATCATGTAACCATAGTTGTTTCTTTCCAGCATAGAGATTAATGGGTTAATTCCCAAACAGAAGAATATCGAACTCAGGCTATTCCCCTGGAATATGCCGCTTCTTATATAAATTGGCTCCAACTGATATTCTGTATTGTTTACTTGTACATTGAGTGTAGTTTTTTATTTGCTAATCAAGTATTTAACAAGGTTTACTATGGCTTTGTCTATTTTATAGATGTTCATTACTTCATATATCCCGGATTGTGGCAATGAGTCGAAAGCCTTTTTGTAATCAATCGATGCCATCAATAGATTTCTACGTTTTTGTATAGCCTGGTTACTAATATTTGTGTCAACAATAAGCCATTCGGAGGAACCCTTTCCACCCTTTCTACACCCATTCTGCTTGGTGTTCATGATTTCATTGGTTCCACAGTGTTGAGTGATTTTTTGTTCGACAATCGAGGTAAGTATTTTGTAGACGACCGGTAAGTAGGTAATGGGTCTGTAATTTTTCGGCATGAGTGTTTCGTTATTTTTTCGACAACATAAACGTAGCTCCCGTTGTGAAGAATTCTGGGATCGACTCTGGGCTGGACCAAGCATTAGCGAACTGACCTGCCAGATATTTATGTGTACTTGTGAAGTTTTTCCACCAATATACTTGAATTTTGTCCAGTCCCGGGGCTTTCCAGTTGTGCGATTCTTGGACTGCTTGACGGACATCTTCAGTTGATATGTTTACTGGGGTCATTTCCTGCAGTTGGGTATGTATTTCTTTTTCCTGTCGGATCCAGTAGGCTTCATGGTTATGCTGTTTTTCTCTGGACCATACGTTGGACCAAAATTCCACCATTTCAGGCTCAGAGGGAGGTTGGCACTCCTCTAGAATGCTATTCTGGTCCAGGTGTCTGTAGAATTTGCGGGGGCTTTTCTGAAAAGTTTTATTTTCAAAGAATCTTTTTGTCCTTTCTGTGTATCGTCTGATTCGGTATCCCAGTGCAGCAACTTTTTGTTTGAGTGTGCCCATGTATAATGTAAGTTCTTCCGTTCTCGTTTGGCTGTGGAGTTTTATGCGCTGGCTCTTTGCAATTTTTCTGACTCTATTCCTAAGCTTGTCTCCAGGCTCACCATAGATGTAAGTATGTATCTGGCCTATATGTTTTCTTAGTTTTGCTATCTTTTCCCCAAGCCGCTTTTTCCATGAGGGCAAGTTTGTTGGTTTTGTATGGCTCTTGTGCTTGTTGTTTTTTGTTTGGAATAAGCCGAGGATCTGGGATACTGTCAATGCTCCGCAGTAGACTTTCTGGCATATGTCCTCCAGTTGGTCCTCCGGTTCAATCACTTTCGCCAAGATGGCGAATTATTATTATTATTATTATTATTATTATTATTATTATTATTATTATTATTATTATTATTATTATTATTATCAGGGTAGGGAAGCGATTAGTGTCCGATAAGTCTATTGCACTCAATTGCACTAAGGCATTATTCGACGTTTCCAGGTTTTTGTCTAGTCTTTTGCTAAATACATCCTTGTTAGGTGCACCTATAGTTTCTTCACTTGAAGAATTCCACTGGTATACGACACTGTTGCTCAGGAAGTGCTTCCTTCCGGACAGCCGGGGCTTTATTTTTTATTTTTGGTGGTGTCCTCTGAGGTTGCGGTTCTGGTGCAAATTCAGATTGTACATATCTGTCATCATGAGAGTGAGAATGTTATAGGTCTCTATTAGCTCACCTCTTTCTCTTTATTGCTTTAATGTTGTTAAATTGAATTTCTGTAGTCTGGTCTCATAAGGCAAGTGTCTAATTTCAAGTGGAACTTTCGTTACTCTGCTTTGCATCCTCTGTAAAAGTTCGATGTCTTTGTTATAACAAACCTTACTATAGTTTCCACACTGTATGGCCATATTCCAACTTGGGTCTGATGTGAGTAGTGTATAGCAAAGGTGTATGTGCAAAGGCCTCGATGTTTTTCTGATGGTTTTTGCCAGGTCTGCTTATGTAGATCAAAAAGAAAATCGACGCTATAACCTTGTGGTACTCCACTCGTAACTCTGTAGAGATCTGAGTAGGTTCCATTTGCTCTTACTTGGAAGTGACTGTCTTTGAGAAAATTCCTGCTTCACCGTAGATCTGTATCAGTCAGTCTTTCATGAAGGACAGACATCAAAGGCTTTTTGAAAATCTAGATAGGTATAGTAAATCCATTATGTTTCCCTAATCAATTTCTTTAGTCCATGCTTTAAGGCAGTTGAGTAGATTTGTGGTAGTAGGTCTACTTGGTAGAAAGCCGTGCTGTGTGGATGGGTATAATATGTGTGTCTAGGAGGAACGTGGTCATTTCTTTGACAATAATTTATTCTAATACTTTACACAGTGTGCATGTCAGGCTAAATGGTCTATAATTAGCCGGTTTATACTTGTCGCCGCTTTTGTAGTATTACAATTGCTTGGGTTCATATTTCTGGTCAGATATCCTCTGTAAGAGAAATGTTAAATAGTGATTTTCTAGATGGTGCACAATTTTTCAGAAATACTACAGGTATTCCATCTGGTCCTGGACTGGAGTGAGTTTTTATGTCTTTCAAAGCTTCAGTGGCCGCTTCTGTTGTTATGATTATGATATCTGTAGTATTTTTTGGATCTCTCAATATCTGTTGGTCTTTTGGATTCTTTATTATGAGATCATGTAGTTGGCTATTTAGATTTCTCTTTATGTAAGAGTAATAGTATATTACAATCCGAGACGGAAAATACTTCATTGCTGGTCGAGAGGTTATTATAGTTTATCGAGACGCGAAGCGTCGAGATAAACTCAACCTCGAGACAGAAATGAAGTTTTCCGTCGAGGTTTGTATACTTTTTTATTTTCAACCCTTAATTTTCTGATGCAAAAACTAAAGATTCTGTTATACGAAATTTTCATATAGTGTAAAACTGGCCTTAGAAAAAAATATTTCACTTTTTTTGTCAATGTCATCAATTTTGACGATCTCAAAGGCCCTGTAAAGGCCAAAACAAAAGACGAAACCACAGGAAACCGCAAAATCAACAACCATAGATAAGA